TGGAGTGCCCTCACTTTATTGGAAGGTCCTGGGTGGGCCGAAACGCCAAACTGGATTTAAGAGCAAAACGAACCTAGCTGCAACATTATATTAAGGACATCACTTTCAACTGATACTTAAAAGGGTCAAGTGTGATTGACGCTGGGGCAGGAAAGTAAACTAGCGGCTTGCAGAAAATATGAAGATTTTTAAATCCAGCATTCTTGTGCCTTTAGACTGGCTGGGAAGTTGGACGTTTAAAACACGTGGAGGACGTCAGGCAGGCTAACCTAGGCTAAGCAGCTGTAGGCACTTATCTAAAATCTAAGACAAAAGCACACTAGAACATTATGAACATATTTAAGACGAGGGGGTTCAATAAGACAGCGAGTGAAAATATGGGGATTATCCGAGAGCTTTAGGTTAACTTTTCTGAAATCCCGAAAAGAGAAAATTGAATTCCGCAATCACCTCTTCACAAAGCCAGTCTTGCTGAAACATTGGAAATCGGAAGGTTTTCTAAAATCTGAAGATTCTAGAATAATAGAACTGTGAATTGTAAAAGTCTTAGGGCTCTTTTATAATTTTTTTCTTCCTCCTCCTCCTCTTTTTAAAACACTTTTACTTTTTGTCGCCCTGAGGCTTGCTGGCCTACAGGTAACTGAACCAGCCTATAGCCCTGAAAAGACAGCCCACCTCGTTTTATTTCCTGAGCCTATCTTATCTCAAAGATCCAGAGTTTTACACCAAGAGGGAGTAAGTAACCTTGTGGAAAAAGTCAAGAAAAATCGCCGACCAACAGCCTATTTGAAAAGTGGCTTGAGAATGAAGCTCTGAGCGGTTTCAGAGCAACCACTGGACTACCAGGAAATAATTTTTCCCTCTTTCTCTGCTGCCAAAAAAAAGGTGACGTCTCTCCACCGATCAAGATTGCATCACAGGCCATTTCTTGAGTCATTTCTTGGCTCAGCCTCCCCAGTAGATGGCTGAATGCTCTACCACAAGCAGGGAAAACCTGTCTTGCAGAATCACCGGGAGGCTCTCCTATCCCACCTGCTGAAGGTTGAACTCTGAAAACGTCCCTCTCAAAGTCCTCAAGAAGGTTGCCTTGATGACCAGAGGAAGAAGGGCTTCTCCATCACTGTTCAGACACTCCTGGGATGGCTAGGATGGTTACTCTGCTTTTTTATCCCTGCTCTCCTCCTCCTCCTTCCAACATGGGTGGCAAAACGCTAAGAACCAGGGCAAGCTGCGGGCTCCCTCAGGGAGTTTCGCAATGCAACCCCAATCATGCCACCTTGGCAGATGCCCAGAAAATATGGGTCAAGTGATCTTGCAAGCCTCAAGCTGTCTAATTCTCAGAAGGGAAGGGAGCAGAAGGCCAGCCTCTCCCAGCCAGGATGTCCTCAGGCCAACTGACTCTTCTTCTTGGGTTTAGACCAGGGGTGCCCAACCTTGGCAACTTAAACACTGGTGGACTTCGACTCCCAGAATTGAACCAGGGGTGCCCAACCTGGGCAACTTAAAGACTGGCGGACTTCAACTCCCAGAATTGAACCAGGGGTGCCCAACCAAGGTAACTTAAAGACTGGTGGACTTCAACTCCCAGAATTGAACCATGGGTGCCCAACCGTGGCAACTTAAAGACTGGTGGACTTCAACTCCCAGAATTGAACCATGGGTGCCCAACCTTGGCAACTTAAAGACTGGTGGACTTCAACTCCCAGAATTGAACCATGGGTGCCCAACCTTGGCAACTTAAAGACTGGTGGACTTCAATTCCCAGAATTGGACCAGGGGTGCCCAACCTTGGCAACTTAAAGACTGGTGGACTTCAATTCCCAGAATTGGACCAGGGGTGCCCAACCTTGGCAACTTAAAGACTGGTGGACTTCAATTCCCAGAATTGAACCGTGTGTGTGTGTCCAACCTTGGCAACTTTAAGACTGACACAGCAAGCTGGGGAATTCTGGGCGTTGAAGTCCACCGGTCTTAAAGTTGCCCAGGTTGGACACCCCTGGTTTAGACACTTGACCTACCTTGCAGGGCTGTTGGTGGACATCTTCAGGGCACAATCCTTTCTCTACTGAGCCCCGTTTTGGGAGAAACTCCATACTGCTGGTAACCTTTTCAAAGCCTTTAGAGGCAACCAACCCTCCCCTGGTCGACTCCCACATATTAAGGGGATGGGGGTGTATAGCAGCACCCCATTGGAAAGAATGGGGGGGTCAAAGATGCCCTTGGGGTGGGCAAGGCCAGCTTTACATCCCTTCTCAGCCATGGGGGGGTTATCTGACTCTGGGCGACCTTCCTCACAAGGTTATTTTGTCTGTGTTGGGGGGGTTAAAAGAGACTGAAGGGACCCCCAAGAACTGCCTAACACCCCCCCTCAAGGCAGAGGGCAATAATGGGAGGGGGTGTCTTAGTCAGCCGTAATTGGGCGCGCTTTAGAAAGGTGCCCCCGCCAC